TTAGTTTATAACCCTAGCTCTGGCATCTATCTGCCCTGTGCTTTGATTTACCTTTGGATAATGTGTAAGGGATGGATCTGTTTTGTCTCCGCTTTGAAGCCTCCTGAAAGAAGTGCCTGGGAACAGTTCCTTATCTCCTTCCTAGGACGGCTGTTTTCACAACATCTTCACACCTGTGGATTGGCTCATTCAACATCAGACTGAAGGGAAGGGTTTCTAACTCCTTTATCCTAGCAGAATTTCCTAAGGGGAACTTAGATCCTGCTTTGCTATTGTCTTGCAATCACTTCCTTTCAATAAAAGCTTCCTTTTGAAATGCTGCTGTTTCAAGAGTTCGTGCTTTCTTGAGTGGGGAGGAGAGGCAGGACCTTACACACCCAAAGACTGGCCAAGATGTTCCTGCAGCATATCTATCGGCTGCAAGGAGTGCCAAGAAGGATCATCTTGGACCGGTATACATGTGTGTTCGTGTGTGTGTGTCTCCAGTTCACTGCTAAGTTTTGGAGGAATTTCATTTACTTTCATCTGAGTACGATTGGAGCCATGGAATGAGCTAATGCAATGCTAGAACAATATCTGAGATGCTAAATTAACTATCATCAATCTAACTAGGCAGATCTCCTGCCATTTGCTGAGGTTGCCTACAATAACACCATGGGACTCACCCCCTTTAAAATAGCCAGGGGGTGGAATTTGTCCCCATGCCGGAATACCCTCAGGAACCTCTGTCCTCCTCAGTGAGCCTAATGGAATGCGTGGGTTCCTTACAAAATGCATGGGGGAATGTAAAACAAGCACTATGTAAAGCAACAGAAATGCAGAAGGCACAGTCTGATAAGAGATGGTCACCCCAGAGAACGTTTCACATTGGGGAGAAGGTCTACCTTTCCATAAAATACCTGAAATTGAAACTGCCCTGTAAGAAGCTGAGTCCGAAGTTCATAGTATCTTTCTCAATAGTAAAAATAATAAATCCAGTGACTGTAGAATTGAGACTGCCACATTTGTTGGGGAAAGTACACCCAGTGTTCCACTGTAGTCTGCTCAAGCTGGTGGTAAGGCCACTAGCAAGGTTAGCCCCAGCTCCAATAGTTGTGGAGGCAGAAACTCACTATGAAGTCAAGAGGTTCCTGGATTCTAGGAAAGGTAAACTTCAATACCTGGTCCAATGGAAAGGGTATCCACTAGCAGAGGGTGGGATTCATTTTTTTTAACAACCGGTTCTGTGGACATGGCTTAGTTGGTGGTCATGTGACTGAGTGGGCATGGCCAACTTGATGTCACTCATGTTGAGGGGCACTTCTCCTTGCCTGGTTTCTCGTGACTGTGGGGATGCTGCAACGGTTGTAAGTGTGAAAAACAGTCATAAGTCACTTTTTTCAGTGCCATTGTAACTTTGAATGGTCACTAATGAACTGTTGTAAGTCAAGGATTACCTATACAAAAATACAAAAAACTTCTTTGCTTGCAAAAAGCTTCACTAAATACCAATCATTAGATTAAAAATACCTGCAAGCTGGAGTTAGAAATCAGGCAGGGTGCTTGAGCACCTTGAGGAATTAAAATTGTTAAAATGCAATGATAACTATCAGCAGCCAACTCTTGCTCATAAAGTGAAACCTTTTAGCAGATAGTTCATTTAAGATCTCCAGAAAAAGCACACCCAGGAAAAGCAATTCTTAGATCCATTTGTACCACTTAAAGATACTCACCTTACAAGATTTCCTAAGGAAATCATCCAGATTTAAGGAAAGGTCACATGCCCCTCAGAAAGGCAGTAAAAAAAATAAGTGCCAAGCTTGCCTCTTGCCTCTTGGAAGTATACCCCAAAAGGACAGTGCCAGATAGTACTAAAGCAGTGAAGGAAGACCCCCTCCCCAGATAGAAAAAGAAACCATGAGAAAGGAAAAAATTCAAACACAATAGAAATAATTAAATCACAACAGCAGCTGTAACAGTAGCCAATTACCAGAACAAATAGACTCAGGAACTAGCCAGATTTCTCAACCCAGTTTCTTTTCAGGAACAGAGATTAACCTTTTTCCTTCCAAACAAAGCTGAAGAGGGAAAATTATCCCATCAATAAACACAGGATTAAACATCATCAAGCACAGAATTAAACTTCACCAAAAACCAGTTTTAGACCAAAACTCAGAAAGGGTTTGTAAACTCACGTTTGAATGTCAATCTTTCTAGCTAGCCTTGCTGAATGTCACTCATCTTGGTTCCTTGTCATTAAAAGTTCCTTTCTGGTTATTCAATTATTTCTTCAAAGTGCTGATTGTTGCATGTGGCTGGAAGTATATCCAGGGGAGTATCTCCTCCCAATAACAGTGTAAAAAGCTTAAAATAACCCTTCCCCTTTAAGAAAGTAAAAAAAAAACTCCTTCCGAGACAGTAAGCTTAGGCATATTGCCAAGAATGTATTAAGGGTGGAAAAAAACAAAAGAAGATTTCTTCTAACTCCCAGTTCTCTGAATTGCTTAGAAAGTTAACAAGGGGTTCTATAGAAGGGGTTCAGAACCGGTAGAATCCTACCCCTGAGTGAAGGCAAGGGAATATGAAAGCGGACTATTTAGTAAAAAAGTTTCATGAACAGTACCCCACAAAATCAGGAGGTTCTCCCCCAAGTGATGGTGAACCCAGTCACCACTAGTGTGTGTGTGTGTGTGTGTGTGTGTGTGCACTTGATGTTTTCCAGGTGCTTCCCACTCTTTAGGGGGATCCGACTGTTAATTTTGAAATGGATCAGGCCATCTCAGCCATTTCTCTCCGTTTCTCAGCTTGACACACTTTGGGGGGAGTGGGGAGCTTTAGAACGTCAGATCAGACATCAACAACTTACTATCTCATGGAACCAAGGTTATCCCAACAGGTGCTGGCCAGAGATTGGAAGAGGTTACCGAGGAGATGCCAGAACACTTAATGTGACCGCTGACAAGGAATGAGTGAGCTGTCTAACCTTGAATTATACTGAAAGCGTGGGAAAGCCAGAGCCGGTTTTAAAATCATCCGTGCCAAAATGATGTACTCAATAAAACAGTTTTTTCAGGAAGCTGAAAGTCTCAGAGTGCTGACTCATTTGGGTTCACTAGTTGGAACCTTGACACTCTGTTCGCATGGTGCTGGTTTGGAGGCCCTTTTTTTTTCAGGGAGGATCTTTTCCATCACAGCTGGGCTGGTATCCGGATCAAGCCAGATAGATTCCCATTTCCTCTGCTAGGACATACCACTCATGGAGGATGGGGGGAGCATTTTGGAAATGCAGGTGCCGTAGACCTTGTCACTTAGCCCATCTTGGAAGCATCCAGTCAAGATGTTTTCTGGCCAGTTGTACAGGCCAGGTTGTGAACCCCCTGGATGTACTCAGACACCCCCCTGGGACCTTGGCTGATGGTTTTTATGCGATCTCTGGCTTTGTGATCAGCTAGAGCAGTGGGGTCAAACTCGTGACAACACGTCATCATGTGATGTATCACAACTTTTGCCCACTTCCCTAATCCGGAGGTGGACATAGCCAGCGCATCTGGCCCATGGGCTGCAAGTTTGATACACCTGGGCTAGAGGATTTTCAAAGTACTTCTGATGTGCAGCCATGAAGCAGTCAACGTTTCTCAGCTCCAGGGCATCATCACTGTGGAGGGTGAGTCAACTTGGACTCCCTCTAATACCATGATCAAACACCACACCTTAGTCCCTTTGGTGACTATTTCTGTACTATACCCTTGCATGTATATCCAAACTTTTGCCAAGAAGAATCCCAATTGCTTTGGGGTCTTCATTGAACTTTACTCCCAAGGCTGGTGTCTTGCATCCTTGCTAGTAGTGCAACTGGTGCAGGCTGGGCTGCGGGGCCAGGCACTGGGATGGTTGCAGTTGCCAGCGGACTCGCTGCCACCGCCATTGCAGTGGCAGAGGTAGTTTCCTCCTCGTTTGTCATGGCTGGACTTGGCTGGTGTGCAGGACGTGCCGCCTGGGCTAGGGTTTCTTGAGCTTTGAGACTACCAAAAGCCCTTCTCGTTAACTTTATGGCTTGCTCCAACATCCAGTCCTTTCACTCTCAGCTTGCCTGTGTTCAATTGTTCCTCCAGTTCCTCCAGCTTTACTCGGTTCTCTCACTGGTGGCTGCCACGCCCCCATAAGTGAATGTCACTTCCATGGATTTCTCTTTCCATTCTTCCTTTTTCCTGACCCTGATGGATCATCGGGGGCTTGGAGGGTTGTCCTCTCCCAGCCATCTGGATAGATCCAGCCCTTCAGGAGGGGGTTTCAAGGATGCTTCCCCCCAGGTCTCGATCCCTTTCTGGTCGCTCTCTTCAGCCAACATCTTTTGCACAGTCCTCATGGTATAGAGGCAGTTTTCTCTCTGGGTTGACCACAACTGCAGAACTGGCTTAATGTCAGACCTGCCCCAATCTGATTCCTTGGAAAAGAAAAGTCTTCGACTACATATGGTCTTCATCATTCTCTTCTACATTCTCCATAGTTCAGCCATAAAAAAGAGTTTTACAAACACTTATAACATTTTCACAGAAAAGTAAGATGGTTTCAAAAATAAATTAAATACAAATATATGTGTTTCTAAAGCAACATTTATGCTGTTAAATGTTGATTTTTGGAAACTTATTTCACTTTGACATTATTTAACAAAAGAACTGTATCAATTTATTCTTGCTTTTTAACCATTAAGTGTTCTGTCGCGGGAAACAGACTGACTCGAGACCAGTGTGATTTCAGCTCTTTATTTGCTCTCAGTAACTTCAACAAAATCGGAGCCGCGGCAGCCTCTTTTATAGCAGCTACTTGTGGCTCGCGGCCAATGACGGCTCCTTAAACTTCCCGCCGTCAGGCGGACCAATTATAAAACAGTATTCAAGTAGTCAGTATGGACCAATCAATAGGCAGCATTGGCGGACCAATCATAATGCAGTATTACAAGTATGCAAATATATATAACATTAAGGATAGTATTTTGTGAATGATAAACAAGTTAAGCCTACCGGTAATCCATTTTTCAGCCACCGGATTGTTGGAATAGGCTTGCCTGTAGCTATACATGGCCAATGGAATTCACTGCCAATATCTCTTTCGGTATCATTAATATGTTCCACCCATTCTGGATGTGCTGAAAAACAAGAGAAACAGTTTTTCTTGTATGTTTAAACCAGTTTTTTCTCACGCTAACAGCCAGCTTAATTCCTACTTATTATATAAAACTTTAATTAATAAATAACTGCACATTAAAAACCAACAGAATCCACGTGCCTTCAACCTCTACCTCACCAAGATTCCCTGGGCAGAGACTCCCTGAGCGGAAATTTCCTGTCAGCTGAGACAGAGTCAGCTATACAAGTGAATCAGATAACAGCAGCCAGCAAAGCAATAAATCTTTGTCACCAATCGGATCAGTTAGCAACAACCAGCAAAGCAATAACCCTTTACTTGCTGACTTACTACTTCATTACTTTAATACTAATATCACTGATTACTTTATTACCTCAAAACTTTATTACCTCAAGACATATATCAATTAGATAATCAATTAGATTAGATAATGACGTCTATAAAATAATTTCTCTGATTTCTCTAAAATAAGTTATCAATTGATTGATTGTTTGATTGATTAATATGATTAGAGTTTCTAGTGAAATAATGTGATTACCAATCTGTAATTTAATTGATTAGCAAAATTAATTATTAGTGTAATTAATTGACCAGTGTGATTAGTGATTAGGGTGATTGCTAATAGTGAAATTACTTGACTAGCATGATTATTGTAATTAATTGATTGGTGCAATATTGTTATTGATCTTGTTTGAACAATTTAATCAACAAACCATCTCAACAAACCCACCATGCCAGGTAAAAAATGCAATGCCAAACCACAATCCCAAACAAAAGAAATTCCCATCAATGAACCTCAAGACTCCTGCACATGCTTTATATGTAAAGAAACTTTAAAGGAGAATGAAAATTCCATCAAATGTTCCCTATGTGACAACTACGCTCACCATGGTTGCTTGGGATTACCCAAGCAAATGGCTCAATTCCTAGAATCATCCAACCATGTGTTTCCATATTTCTGTCCACCGTGCAGACCCAAACTGGACAAATATATTGCCCTGTTCGAAAGAGTTGATACCATAGAAACACGAATATCATCCCTTGACACCATAGTAGAATCCCTGGACACTATAAAAACAAGATTAACTAACCTTGAAAAAAAAGACCCAACACACAAAAAATGAACATCCAATAGCTACAAACCACATCTTTACCCAACAACTGCAATCACAACCCAATCCACAAAAAAACACAAATCCTACAAATAATGATATCCCAATCCTCATCAAAGAAGCCGTCGAGCATGAACAGAAACATCCCAATGCCATCTTATTTGGTCTAGAAGACAACAATGACAATGATGACATCACAAATGTCCGCAACATCATCAGTGGCTATCAAAAATCAATCATCTCCCCTGATGAAATACTCGACATTTCCCACATTGGCCCAGAGTTCAAAAACAGTGACAGCTCGTTGGCCCCATGCTTCTGCAGGGTTGTTTGCAAAAATGAATTAAGCAAATGAAAATTCATTTACACTATAAACTCACTTGCCAAGAGCAACATCAACCATAAGAATCTCCGTTCTTGTCCTGACCTAACCTTACAGCAACGTGAACTATGCTCTGAACTCAAAAGACTACAAGAACAAGGAAATACTAACTGCACAGAATGTATCAAAAGCAAGACCTTCAACTTACATCCCAATAACCATCACCCAAACATCCAACATTAGGCATGCATGCCCCTTACTTCCTCCAGATCCACTACTACATATCTAAAATGCAAACTACTCACCGCAAGAAGCCTCGCAAACAAAATGCATGAATTCCTCATCTTACTAAGCACAGCCACATCGATATTATATTTGTCTGTGAGACGTGGTTGAATGCATCTTTTCCAGACTCCATTATCACAGTCAGAGAATATCATGTTTATCAGTCAGATCGCAAAATCCGTAGAGGAGGTAGAGTTGCTACCTTCTATAAAAAATCCCTAAATCTAAGAAAGATTCTAATTACACCACTGTTTGTGAACTGTCCTTAAATACCACTATCCGCTTCTTACTATGCTACAGAGCCCCTGATTATGACATAGTTCATGCAAGCAAACTAACTTCACTGTTGACATGGGCTGCCTCTTGTCCACACCCTCTTATTTTTCTTGGTGACCTCAATCTATCTCTTATAAACTGGACCCTAAATTAATGTACATCCGAACCCATACATGCAACCCTGTACAATGCTCAATGTTACTACATTGAGACTGGATCAATTAGTAACAAACAACACTAGACTCAACAATTGCCCAACCTCATCTTCTGCAGCAGCTCAAACTCAATTTATGGCCTACAAATACAAGAACCCTTTTCAAACAGTGACCACAGTATGATTGACTTTTGTCTCAATTTATGCCCTCACAAAGAAGATCATAATGATGGATCTCCAAAATACAATTTCAAAAAAGCCAACTATGATCACATAGATGCCGACCTATCATCTCTTAATTGGCACTTTCTGTTCTCTAACTGTAATACTATAGAAGACCATTATAATGCATTACTTGAACTTGGAAGAATCATTAAACTATATGTACCATTAGTAACCCCTAAAAACAAAAACAAAAAACAAATTACCCATAACAATAAGGAAACTTCAATAAAAAAAATCACTATGGCATAAAAACAAAACTAGCTATGTAGCAAACTTTAAAAACCGATACAACACCCTATGCCGACAGATAAAGGCAGAATGCACAAATTATTACTGCAAGCAAGAGGAAAACCTCCTATGTATAAAATCTACCCGCACCTTCTACAATTTTGTAAACTCCAAACTTAAAGACTCAAGAACCATTCCACCTCTAAAGGGACCAAATGGGAAATGTCAGCCTTCAAGATTCTTTTCCTATGCTTCGCATCTTTCGGCTGTCATAAGTAATGGGGGGAGGAGGGGTGAAATAGTTATGGGAAACGAGCTGGAGGTTTCAGAGAAAAAACTGTATAAGTTGGGGGGGAGTTTCTTGTTTATGCTCCTTTCTTATGCTATGCGCGAGCACACCTCTTTATCAAAATATGTCAAGGTCAACGGACGGATACCTCATCACCACCTGAAGATGCCCACATGATGTTATATACAATTTTTAATTGGATGGACAGTTTGAACTATTGTGAGTGGGAATGTTGCCATCACTTTGTATATGTGATTTACGTGCTCATTTTCTCAGATTCAGAATTCTTTTGATGCTACCACTTGATTTTCCAGTAAAAGATATCTTTTCTCTAATTAATGGAGTCTAAGTATTTTTTTCTTGGATTTTGAATGGATCACCAGCTGACATTATTCTGAATCTCAGTTTATCAGCCCACCCAGAGAATTAATAAATTTCTTCCAAGGGGGTCTGAACACAATGTCTAATCCAGCCAGCGACCAAGAGGACCTGGGAGCGACTGGAGGACTAGTTTCCCTGCTGTTAGAGGCGGCAGAGGAAACTGAGTTGTTAGCAGAACTACATCTTGATGAGAAGACAGCCATAAAACCCAAATGGTCTCTGGGAGTTGGAAGGATCCGGAGGAAGAACCCCTTCCAGGAGTGACCACTACTTGATGGCATAGAAGAGAAGAGCCATGGCAAGAGGATGAAATAATCTTTTATTAGCTCAAGCCTTACATCTTCTGAATGAAGCTGTTGGAGGAATTCATCTAATCAAAGGTATGAGAGGGAAGAGGGGGAAGCAGCCCCAGCTATGAGAGCCAGAGCAGCTACCCCCATAAATCAACCCAGGCCAGCGCAACAGGCGGCAGCAGCTCAGGGCCCCTGAGGGGACAGCAATTGCCCGAAGGCGTCAAATTCCAAAGGTGCCTCCGTTGGAAGTAAAATATGGAGTTAGGATTCTTCCTAGCCCAAGTCTGGAGCCACATGGAAGAATATGGGGAGGATTTTTCCTCAGAAGCAGCTAACGTCAGATGTGTTACCCGGGCTTTGGAAGGGGCAGCTGCAAAATGGATGGTGCCTTTGCATAATGATAATGCCCCTCAGCTGAGGAATTATGACCTGTTCAGCATTGCATGCCAGATTTGAAGACCCACTAGCTGAACGTAAAGCTAGGATTAGGATGAAAACCATAAATCAGGGGCAGAGATCAGAGGCTGATTACACCCAGGAATTTAGAGAGCTGGCGTGCCATATTCGAGGATGGTCCCAGGGAGCCCTGATAGAAGCTTTGAAAGATGGGCTGAACGAAGATGTTTATCAGAGCTGCATTGCCAGAAGAGACCCCAGTGAGCTGAAGGTGTGGTATGTGCTGGCAGCAGAAGTGGAAATTGATCTGACCCAAAACAGATGCGCGCGGGGGGGGGGGCCTCGGCTGGAGCAAGTCATCCCCCACCAGCCTTAGAGAAGCCTCAAAACCTCAAAAGGGAGGGCCTGCGGCAAAACCCAAAACCACTGCATGTTTCCGATGTGGGAAGGAAGGAAGGTCACCGGGCTGCAGACTGCCGTGCCAAGCTAGAGCCAAAGGGGGTGCCAGGAGGAGGAAGAAAACCTGAGAAAACTCCAGTCAACCCTCACGAAACGGCTCTTAAAGTGGAGGAGGTTGTAGAGATCGCCCCTTCGAAAGGAGAGGAGCTGGGAATTCCGACCTCTTCTGGTGAAAGTGAATCCGAATTGGAAGACGATTCTCTGGTAAATCCAAACAAGGGCCCAATGACCATCCCAGTGAAATTAAGGGTACCCACGTCGGGAGCCCAAGGGGAAATGTCGGCCTTGTTAGACTCTGGGTGTACAAGGTGTGTGATCAGCTCAGAAGTTGTAGAGAAACTGGGTTTAAGGCTAAGGACTTTAAAAACTCCCATAGCTTTTTGCCAACTGGATGGATCAGTAGCTGGAGGCGGCCCTGCACATTTCATAATGGAACCAGTGGAGATAATGATGGGGAGGCATAGAGAGACTTTGTGTTTTATTGTTGTCCCTGGGATGGAGCGCCCCCTACTTCTGGGTTTGCCCTGGCTCCAAAAGTGGAACCCCCAAGTGGACTGGAGGAGGGGATTGTTGCGCATATG